TGGAATTAAGTCCATCCTCCCACCTGTGGCAGTACGTAAGGGATCCTTTAGCTTTCATTCTATTCTAAAGTATTCTGTGATCTAAAACACAAATAAGAACAACTGAAATAAATCAAACACAAAAGGAATATATGAAAACTCCTACTGGTGGATTTCCCCATTGAGGAGGTATTTACTGAACACATACTTTGTGCCAAGCCTTGGGACATAAAGCGGCCCCTCTTTTCAGGAACTGACATGCTGAATCCAGGGCTAAGGAAAAGTGGCTCATAAATCAAAAATTGTCTATCCTTCTGCTTAGCTAGAATTTGCATACAAAACACTTAAAAGGTAATCTTTCATGACAACACAGTGATACGTCCATCTCTGAGATGCTATTAAAACTCAACTTACAATTTATGCTAATAAATTCATGCCATTTAACATTGCTCTCTAAACTCCCTGGAGCTAGCACAGGCCCCAAGCCCCAAAGATCCCTTGTTAGGTTCCAATCATGGGCTGACATGTAAGACTCCATGAGTGTTTGCCCTACAGACAGTTAAGAAAAACTAAGAGCCAATAAAATACACAGCAAGAGGCAAGGCCCTTCCAGGAAATGAAAACTCTCCAGGAAAATATGGAACTCTTGCCTCAACATGGGGCTCTTTTGCAATCAGGTTGGGGATATCCCATAGTTACAGGGTAAGGAGTATTTCTATAATTACAAAAACATTTTGGTGCCAATTTGTCAAGTGTAGACAGAGGAAGAAGCTATTGATTTGTCTTAAGTGTCATCCATATTAAGTGTCATCCTAGCTAAAGGAAGCAAAGCTCTGAGTTGCTATTAAATCAATGTCATCTGAAAGAACCAAATGGTTTATCATGCCAGGCAGCTCTGAACTTCCTACCTTCAAAGTCATTTCTTTGGGTCATTTTTTTACAAACATTCAAAAAATGCATAAATATAACCTAAAAGGAGGCTAAAAGAAATGTGAATTCATTCATCAACCACCTAAAATCACAGAGTTTCAGAAAAAAGACTTCAGATCAGCCCGAGGTCTACCCAAACAGGCAGCAGTAGACCCAATGCCAAAATAAGGTGTCTACTTCTAAAACTGCCCTTCAGCAGACTCTACCCTTTACACTGTCTTTGTTTCTTTCCTATCGGAACAAAAGTGATAAGATCGAATGTTGCATAGCACAACTGAATTGTGAAGTTTTGTATTTTATATTTCCTATCCCTATTTATGCCATTAGAATAAAACCCTGAATGCTGGGACTTGGTTGGCCTTTGAACTGCTATAGAGCACAGCCCCACGAGGCCCATGGTAATGTTCAATAATAATTGCTTTAAAGAAAGAAGGAAGAGTCTAATTTAATAAATGGACACATTCTCCCTGTCTTGAAGGGAACCAGCACCAGACACTAAGCAGGGCTGAGCCTTCCATGCTAAAAACTGGTTCACAGACCTTCTTTTTCCCAAGTGAGACAGTTATGGACAAGGGACTCACTAAAACATAACACACAAGACAAACACACTTTCATCTTTTGAAAAGCTCAGAAAAGTAGCCCAGCGCACCCAGGTATCTTTGTTACCTGGCTATGGGACATGTCTTTCATTTTCTGAACTGATTCATTGCTTTCCAGAAAGAAAACAAAGTATCCTATGAACTGAGGCCTGAATTGAGGGCGAGGAGACCTCTTATTGAGTCTTTTGCCTGAGTCATTGTCCAGATGTAATCAAGCCTAGGAACATCAGTTCAGAGAGTTTCTTTATAAAATAAGAAGAAAGGAAGGAGGAAAAGAACTGGGTTAGCACTACAGAAAGGCCCTTTCACCATCTAAGGTCAAGTACCTTGACCTTCAAAACTAAAATTCATAATTTTGGACTAAAGAGATGTCCAACGTGATCAGACAAAATCCGATCTGAAGCTGGGTGGCTCATCATTACCAAGCAATCAGGTTAGTCATAATAACTATTTCAATCAACAACAATAATAAATAAGATACCTTGAGCACCTACTATGTGCCGGTACTGTTTTAGTCGTTGCGATACACTAAATCTCTAAATCCTCACATATCCCTGTGAGACATGTCATCATCATCCCTCTTTTGCAGATAAAGAAACCATGGCGCAGAGAAGCTAAGTGACTTTCTTGAAGTTGCCTTTCTAAGAACTGGCAGAGCAAGGATTCCACCGAGCGACTGGGCTCCAGCATCCAGGTTGGCCCCTTACCCTACTGCAACTACAATTCTCTGGAAATTCTAGAAGGAGGAATGCTACGATACCAAGTGAAAAGAGCTACGAAGCAGTTGTTAGAAGCCACTGAATCCTGTTTGCTTCACAGAATCATGGTTCTTTCCTTCATTTAGTGCTCATGGAAAATGCAACATGACCCTCTCCTTATTCCATACATGATGAAACTGAGAATTAGAGGCGTTACAACTTGACCAAGGTCACGGGCTGAAAAAAGACATATCCAGTTGCCAATCTCCAGTTGTCAAACTCCAATGCCCAAACTATTACTCCCTGTGCCACACTCCCTTTCCGCTGTGAACAATCTATGGTGTTCCAGCCATCTGCTTGATGGCATGGGAGAAGCCTGAACATATGACCTCTTTTCCACTAACCATACATGACAGAAGGGAGTGTGCTGTACCAAAAGAAACACAGACTTTGAAATCAGACTTGGGATCATACAAAACTCCTTGTGACCTTAGATAAGGCTCTCTGCATCTATTTCCTCACTTGCCTAAGCCCAAGGTGTTTCTGAAGGTTATGTGTGATAGAATGTGGGAATTCTGGCTTCAGAACCCCTCAAGTCACACACCACCCTGCATGAATTTAGACACACATTTTCTTGACCACAAAGGGGTCCCATACGTGAACAGGAAGTTCGTCTCCGCACCAGAAGTCTGTCTGCTCTTCTTGGGCTGAGTCATAACATCTTCTTAGTAAACGCTGAGGGCAAAATTGCACAAACATGGGCTCTCTAGGTCAGGAGCACTTTCTCTTGACTCCCAGCATTTGCCCCAGGAGCTAGCAGGAGCTGCAATCACACTGCAGTTCTGTTAATGAGGTTGCCAGGCCCTGTGGTACCAGAGACCAGCAGGGCATGAAATCATTACTGACACTGCCAATTTGGACTAACAAAGACCCAAGTTTCAGTCGGGAATGTTATAAAATAAATCAATATCTTAGAAATGCTTAGATCTTCAATTAGGGATGTTCTGGTTTAATTTCAAAGATTTGTTTGCCCTTTTCAAAAAAAATCTACTATTCAACCCTCAGGCCAACTAGAAAGTAGTATATATATTCTAGTGTTTAAAAAGCTGTGGTTAAGGCTGAGTATGAGGGGACAAGCCTATAATCCCAGCCCTCTGGGAAGCTGAAGCAGAAGGATCACAAGTTTGAGCCCAGCCTGGGTAACTTAGCAACTAACTTATGAAGACCCATTCTCAAAATAAAAAGTATTAAAAGGATTGGGGTTGTTGATCAGTGGATTCAGTCCCCGGTACCAAAAAAATAAAAGTAATTTTTAAAAGGTTTCTGTTCTCAAGTCATCTCTTATGTATGTACTCAATCTCTTTTAGGTATATCTAACACAGATCTAATCATTTTAAACAGTCCTTTAGTTAACCATGAATGTATAAAAGACAATTTTTAAAACCCCTAGGGAAACTTCATATTCCAATCTTATTTATAGTGGCTCTAAATCAGGGGCTGGAAAACTACAGCTCACAGGCCACCTGCCTGTTTTTGTAAACAAGGTTTTGTTGGAACACAGTAACACGCACTTCTTTCCACACTGTCTAGGATGCACTGTGCTAGAGGCAGACTTGATTAGCTGTAACAGAGGACTTGAGTAGCTGGGCTGCAAAACCTAAAATATTTACTATGCAAACCTTTACAGAAATGTTTGCCAACTCCTGTTCTAAACAAATCCTGAGGCTCAGAATCCCACAAGGTATTTCACACTGCTTATCCCTACAGTAATTAAATAATTCTCTGTATTTGTGAATGCCTGCTGGTCCTGCTATAAATTCTTTGAGAAATAAGGGTTATTTTCTCCCCAGGCCTGAGCACACTGTAGACAAGAAGTAAGTATCTATTTGAAGAATGAATGAGTTAAGTTCCTAGATAGATTTTGAGCTCTTAAGGGTGGGAAGTATTCTTGGTCACAGTGAGAACCTGATTAATAGAAATTTATCAGTAACTTAGTGTTTGCTGAACTCCAAAGTGTATTGACTCTAAACTTAGAGTAGTAGTGTTTTTCAGGACATTTGGTGATCAAGATAAATCCCTGTCTGTATTATGCCAAATCTCTTCTACAGCACACAATTTGTGCCCAGTATCTTTCTAACTTCACACATTCTCTCTGCTTCCAGCCCTTATGTGAGAGGCTTGGCTCTGACAGTGCTAGTCTCATAACTGACTTGCAAAGCTGGTCTTCTATCCTGCAGAATCCATCTGTGCTTCACAGTATGGTTCCCAGCAGACTGCGGGGGCTCCCTGGTGGTTCTAGCCCATCACTCATCCCCAAGTCATGTGGCACTCGGCCACCAACACTTAGATGCAAGGGAAGCCAGAGCAGAAGCCACTGGCTTCTGGAAAGACACAGACGAAAGGACTCAATAGAAAAGACCTCTGGCTTTCCATTCTCAAAATGTATTTCTCTTTAGAAATGAAGATGGCTTAATGTGAAGACAGAAATCTGACTCTCAAGAATGCAATAAGGTTTGGAAAATGAACTAAGAGCTCAAGAGTCCAACATTAGAACTAGTAGAAAACCAAGCTCTTGTGGTTACTAGCCATGTAAACTTCAGCCAATTCATTGATTTCTCCATGATAAAAATACCTTAATGGCAAAATGAGTATAAAAGATAACTTTGCAGAAACACGGTCGTATATTTAAAGTGTCAAACAGTGAATATATATATATATGTTTCTTTTTAATTTCTCCTTCCCTTTCATATTTTTAATGCCACAGGGAAAATGAACATTGGAAATTTCCACTTACCAAGCATTCCTTTCTTGGAACTGGACAGACACATGTCTTTCTCTGCACTAGGCAGGGCAAAACTCACCACGAACACCTCTACCCCATCAGCCATCAGGGCTAAACCCAAGACAAAGAAGAGAATCCACTGGAAGCGCCCATGGCCACATTCGTCAATTATGGTCTCATACTGGTGGGCCAACTGCTCCTCATCTTCCATCCTCTGAGCCATCAGGTCTGCCTGGCCTCGAAGCCCATCTGCCCTAGAGGGCGCCATCTTGGTCTGTTTGGCTTTGACATCATCTGGATGGGGGATGCCCTGGTACTCGCCCTCATAGATCTCATCCTCCTCATCATGGCCTTCTGTAACATCACTCTGCGCATCTTCCTCTGGGTTGGACTCATTGCCCCGGTAATAGCCATCACTGGGGGCATAGCCCTCATAGTTGTCCTGATACTTGTACTCATCCATTCCTTGGTTCCGGGATTGCCTGGTCGCCTCTCGGGCTATATCCCTTGCTCCGCGATAGAGGTTTGGGCTGTTCCGATAACCATCACCCATTATATGGTCTCAAGGTAGAATATGTTCATGTGACTTTCTAAGTGAAAGTCACACCTGTTCGCTCTCTCTTTTTTTCTTAAATCAGCCAGATGTGTACAAAGACAACCTGGGTATCCTTTCCCTTTGCATTCAGTGTCTATAGAAGTCTTTGGAAATTTTCAAACACTGGTCTGTCTGGTCTCCTTCAGTAACCCAGAGATATTGAGTTAGGAAGCACTGATTAAAAATGGGTCCAGCTGCTCTCTTTGATAAGGCACAAGCAGACTTAGCAGCTTGCTTGCTGGCCTGATTTGTCTGCTACTGAAGGTTATGACCTGAAAGTAGAGAGAAAAGAGAAGAATGTTACAGAATTCTGAAAAAATACTTCAGAAGTAAACAAACATATTTAGCAATTCCATTGCTTCATCTGTAAGGTGGAGGAAATCTTGATTAGAAATTCAAATTCAGGTCTGGGGATTTAGCTCAGTGGTTTCGCCACCTGCTGCGCAAGCGCAAGGACCCAAATTCAACCCCCAGCAAAAAAAAAAGGGGAAAAGAAAGTCAAATTCATAGCAGGTGAATGGGGGTTGAATGAGTGAGAGGGAAAAGGAACCATGGTCAGAGAGGGCCTCTGAGCTGTGATTAACCCAGCAGAGGGTCAGCTCATATGCATCAATGAAACATAAAGTGGTCAAGGGATTTTTGAAAGAAGAAAATTTAGTGTCACAGATGTCCTCTTAGAACTTAATCAAGCCTTACTGTGGAGGTTTATTATAACCAATTTCTGCTATGAAAATGCCAGCCTTTCTAACTTTGTTAGGAAGTGGCTATATAATTTGACATCTAGAAATGTACAGCAAAGAAATATTCAGGATAGGTTTTCCCGAAGCCCAGCTTGCTTTTGAGACTCAACATTGTACTTGGCTTAAATTGGCAAATATACCGGGTTGAAAACCCAGAACCAAGTTGCTTGGGCATGAAATTTTTTGATTCTGCTGCATAATGGCCAGATGGCCATGCATATGTCTTTCCAAGCCCCAATTTTCTCATCTGTAAGATGGGGATGACAACAGTACTTAACTCACAAGGTGATACAAAAAAAACATTATAGTTGGTTTTCCTCTCAATTTTGGAAACCAGGAACCAGAATGGTCAAGGGCCAAGGCCCTGTCTATATCCCAATTCTGATCACTGGTTCTTTCTATTGAGTCCTACACCCAACAGGCTGATGCCCTGTCCTAACTGTCTTCCTAGAATTTCAAAGCTCACAAGGACTGGAACCACCCTTTAATGATGCCTGCTAGGTACTACATAGTCTGCTATATGTGTCACATTCCTCCATAAGTGTCAGTACAAGAGAGAAGGGGAAGGGAGGGAGAAAGAGAGGAAGGAAAAGGAAGGGAAGGAGGGAGGAGCAGGAAAGACAAGAAAGAAAAAGAAGGAAGAAGAGGGAAAAGGAAAAAAGAAAGAAAAGAGGAAAGGAATGTGTGCCTACACATTCTGTGGCTTGGAACGGATTAGCAATCCAATCAAGGCTGTGGAGCTAGAATTCATTGCAAGGTCCACTGGTCCATTGGTCCTAAAGCTGTTCTTTGCAGGCTTTGCACTATACTTTCCAAATGCTGTCCGAAGAGACTGTCATCTTCTCTCACCTGGGAGCTTTAACAATATGGATTCCCAAAGCTCACAGAAAGGCTGGCTGGAGCTCAGAAATCTGAATTTGCACACCACTCCCCAGGTGGCCCTGAGGCTCCACCTCACTCTATCCTATTAGCCCCCCTAGGATAGAGAGCAGGCTTCTCCCTCCCCCTTACTCCACACCTGTGCCCAGGTGCCAGGCCTCTGACAGGCCTCCCCAGCTCCACCCACCTGCCAACAGGTACATATGCAAGCAACACTTGCAGGCCTCTCTGGTGCACCTGAAAGTCACTATCCTTTCCCTATGCTCAGCAGATGTCACCTCAAACAGACTGGATACGCTTGTCCTTGCCAAGGCTGCTGGACCCTCTGTCCTGCACCTGTCTCCTGGCTCTCCTCACCCTCCCCCTTGAATAGACACCAGCTCTGGGATTCAGCTCAACCCACAGTACGATGTTTTTCCTTCTGAGAGGATGCCGGACAACAGCCATTCTCAAACACAGGATAGACCAGAACCACTTAGGGCACAGGGCTCATTAGAAATGCAAATCCCAGGACTCCTTCCACAAAGACACTGAACAGAGTGGGGCCTGGAAATATGCATTTTCCACAAACACCTCAGGGAATCCAGGGGACTGCAGTTTGAGAACCAGTGCTGCAGGAGCCAGCTAGAAATATTTGCTAAGAATAATTTCTACTCTACTCTTTCTGATTCTTTACCATCCCCAGTAAATAAATTTATATTAGACCATGCTGTTCTGAACCACATCAGATTAATATTCTAAATCTGTTTTTATTACATGTATTTAGGGACCACAGGAGGAATATAAATCACATGTAAAGAGCATGAGAGTTTTCAGAGTGCTATAAAAAAATGGAGAAAGAATGCCAACTGCCTGAGATCTGCTAGGTTATTTCCATTCTGGGGGCCCTGCAAAAATGTCATGAGCCAGAAATGATAGATTTGCAATTCCAAAAGCACATGTAGGAAATACCACGTTGGGCAGTTTCTAGGATTTGCTCTGTGGAAAGAAGCCGATCTTTGTCAACACTAATCCCACTGGACTGATCCAGTTAAATGAACTGCCATGAATGTCAAGTGCAGTGGAGTAAAGGGGCATCACTGTCAAGTGCTTTTATTGTTTTATTTCTATTTTATTGAGAAATATCAAGTTATTTTTTCAGCACAGGATGAATCATTTGCAATACTGTGGGTCAAAGTGTGTCCCTCCGGGAAGATGTGTGGAAGCCCTAAGCCCCAGGACCTCAGAATGTGGTCTTATTAGGAAATGGGATCTTTACAGAGGAGATCCAATTAAGATGAGGTTATTATGGTGGGTGCTAATCCAGTTTGACTGTATCCTTATACAAATGGGAAATGTGGGCACAGAGGGGAAAACAATGGAGAGACCTAAGGAGAATGTCCTCTATAAGCCAAGGAAGGCTTACGGTGATCAGCAGCTGGAAGATGGGCCTGGGACAGATTCTCCTTCACAGTCCTCAGAAGGAACTAACCTGCTAACACTTCGATTATGGACTTTCAGCCTCCAGACCTGAGAAACAACAGAATTCTTTTGTTTGAACCATTCAATATCTAGCATCTGATACAACAGCCCCAGGAAATGGACACATAAAACAAGCCTAGGGTTTATCAACAACAACCACAAGAGCAACTACCATCATTTTAACCAAGCACTAAGGGAAGCACTTTACAAGCCTGCTTTGTTCCTTCTCATAAGATTATTTGCTCCATTTCATAGACAGAGACATTGAGGACAGGAGGATAAATGAATCTGCCCAAACTGACACAAAGTCAACATCAGGGCTTGGATCTGGAGTCCTGCACAAGCAAAATTTCACAGCTGCTACAAAAACTGAGACTCTGAGGAAGTAAGGCAAGGTCACTTGCTGACTTGCCAGCAGATCTAAGCTCACTATGGAGCTTCCAAGCTTGGGTTCGGGTTGTTTGCACATTCTCATCAAACACTTCCCAGGATGTGTGGTGCATAAGGCATCATAGTACATATCACATGGCTTGATCCCCATCCTCAAGAGTTCACCTCTCGTGAGAAAATCAGATGACAACAACACAAAGCATCATGTAGTAATAAATTTACAATCTGAATTATTAATAATGTTCTCACCTCTCATCTGTTGAGTGCTGTGCTCCCCTTGTGTCTTTGTGCCAGCTTCTAGGCTAAGCTTATCATGTGCTTTACCTCTTTTCATCTGTACAACAATCTATGAGGCAGGACCAGTATTACCCCATGTCTAAGGAAACAAGACTGAGGCTGACCGAGTTATACAAGTGACCCAGAGGCACAGGCGGGAGGTTCTTCCGGGAGTTTCAGGGGCATGGAAGACCAATGTGCGCAGGGACCTGCTGGGACTGCAACCTAGGAGAAGATGGGACATCCAAGGGCAGAAAAGGGCTGGGAGAAGTGGACAACAGAGCGCTCATCACAGGCCGGAGAGCACGGAGCTGGAAGGACAGACAGGCTCATGAGGAGCAAGAGGGACATGTCACATCGGTGACAAGGAGGTGGCCAGGGTGACCAAAACAATCATTACTCCAAGTAGCCGAATTCTGAACTGGAAATTTTCTCAGCACCTTATCATTTCTGTGTAATTAAGACACAAAAATATTCTCTCAGATTGACCCATTTGGTGTGGCAGTGGGATATGTAAAAAAGGCCCTAGTGTCAGAGGGCTCTGGGTTCAAATACTGATTCTGCCACTTCATTTACTGTGTGCAAGCTATTAACCACTCTGTGCCTCCAATCTCCCCATCTACAATATGTAATAATACTGATTACAGATACTGTAATAACAGTTTCCATGCCATAGAGTCATTATGAGGGTTCAGTAAGATAATCAGCACAGGACCCAGCAGGCACCGACATGACCAATGTGAATTTATTTGATCTTATTTGTATCATTGTCATTATGATTATTATCTCAGTATCAGCAATTAAAATGTACCCGGGCTCTCAGCTTGAGCTCAGCCTCACTCCCCATGAGATTTGGGGCCCATCTGGGCAGAGCTCGGGAACCAAGTGCAGAGAAGAACAAACTGACATTTAGTTTCTCATGAAAACTGCCACCTCTCAAAAATATCCTAGTGCTAATCTCTTCAGTGTTTTCCTTTAACTTCTACAATCTATTAACTTCCGCAACTATGCTGATTGATTCAGAATCATTGTGCAATAAACATTCATAATTAATCATCAAGAACACAGTTAAAATACTATAATCAAATGATATAATGCTGCCTAAAATCTGTTCTGCACAACACTAGACCTTGCTAATCTAAGAGACATGAAGGATTCCAGGAGCAAATAAATTAGGGAAAGATTACATACTTTATTTACCATTGTCTTGGC